GGCATTAACCCTTTGCTGCCAGGGACGTTTCTGAACACGTAAAAAAAAAAATATTAGACCTGAAAATTAATTAAAAACCCCCAAACAGTATATATTTTCTGAAAGCAGAGATCCCGTAGAATAAAATGATGGCAGTTTCAATTAATGCCACATGATATTAGCACAACAGTTTATCTTGCGCAAATCTTTAGTAAATACTCTAACATTAATTTTAGTGCACACAAACATATATTTCCCTTTTCTTGTAAAATATAAAGGATGAAGTTACGTCAAAGTAATAGAAACCCCACATCAAATTAAAAGTGTGTGCACCCATGAAATGACAAACTTCAGTACACAAATTTCCCAAAGGCGACAATTTATAAAGGCCATCAGAGAAAGAACATGTGAGGAGGGTCTGAATCAGAGAAAAAGTTAATTCCTGTGATGGTGGGGGTAAGCAATACTGACTAGGCCTCACTTAGCAGCGTACTATAAATGTGCTGGAAGTATTCCAGTCAGGCTTCATGAGGTATGTAAATGGCCTACACCTATAGCAAGGACATTAGACAACTTTATTCAGAGACACACAGTTTGTTTTTTATCCACAGACTCCCCTTACCTGAATAGGCAGTTCTTTGATGAAGGTGAACCATCCCTTTAAGTGTCTAACTTTATTGCTACCACATAGGGAAGAAATAGCCCCCTATGTGATAGACATCTGATGTCTCATTGAAGAGAACCGGTCACAGTCAAAATCCTATTTAGTCCTCTGATGTCTCCCCTGCACTCCACTGAAGCTAATGTAGTGCATAGGGAAAATGTACTGGGGGTCTGTGGAAGCTGACAGTTGGCTTGTCCTATTTACACATACCTGCGACTGCTGCTTCAGCAGCTGGGAGTATGTGCAAAACACACAGCTGACACTAAAAAACTTCCAATTCATGTATACTGCTGCTCCAAAACGTTAATTCAGGAGCGTTTGTTTTTTTGCCAAAGCCCCTTTACTCAACTCTGGTAAAAGCTTATTTGTCCATGGACACATAGGCTTTTACCAGAGTTTAGAGGCAGCAGAGTTTAGGGGCAGTTAAACAATCCTCTTCTGAATGCAGAATAATCGCGTTCAGAAGAATGTCTTGGCCAAAAAACACTAAACGCTGCAAAAACACGAGTAAACATGGCTAAACACTAGCCGCATTTGGGCGTTTATCCACGTCAATGGAAAATACTCCGGCCAATCAAATGAATAAACGTCCAAGTGCTAAACGCGGTATCGCGTTTACGTGTGTGTCACATTTAGCGTTTTTCTGCTAAAATTAGAGTTTAACGACTAGGTGAGTTCATGTGTACATGAGGCCCAATAGTTCAAAAACAGGTATAAAAAGAAGCTGCATGTGTTTGTTTTTGCCACTAACCTCCAGGTTTCTGAAGATGTATTTATGAGACTGCCTTGTGTTGTACATGTTAATAAATGATCAACTGATATTTTATTTTCCAGAATTAAATATAAATGGCAGTAAGTGTCTCAATCTCCATACCCAAATTGTGCTCCAGGGGTGTCGATCTCAGCAACTAGACTCCTGTGTACCTCAATAGCAGGGAGGGTGAGGGGGCAGTACTTCTACTGGAACAGTTTTTTACCTTAATGCAGGGAATGCATTAAGGTAAAAAATGTTTAGGCTTTAGAACCATTTTAAAGGATAAGTTCACCTTTGGGAACATGTGACAGGTTCCTGATCCTTCAGCCGCTGCCCGATTCTTTCCCTTCCCCCACCATGAAAGAAGTATGGGGAGCAGTTCCCCATACTAGCTGTCAGTATTTAAAACTAAAAAAAAAAAAAAAAAAAAAAAAAATAGTGGCCGTGCGAGGCTCCACCCACATGGCCGCATCATTCATTCACAGTGTTCTGTGAATGAATGGACTACAAGTCCCGAAATCCTTAGCGGTTGTTGGCTTGTAGTCCTCAATGAATTACCATGGCACTGTGGTAGTTCATTGAGTCTTCCTGTCAGCAAGTATCAGCTAATGTACAAGCAAGCAGATACAAAGTAAATGTGCATGAGATCTGCATGGCATCAGCCTGCATGGCCTCATGGCTGATTGCTGGTGCAAAGCTTTACAGGCTCCTGCAATAAAAAATACATTCACTTTTTTTTACCTGCAAAAAAATATGCATTTATTATTTTTTATCAAAAGGTGAACTTATCCTTTAATTATATCCTCTTCTCTTTTGTTTTAATTAAGTAACTTTTTGTTAAAGTTTTAAAAAAACAAAACAAACATACAATTTAAAAAAAATGCAAATTAAGCAATATCAACACACAAAGCAATAACACACTTATTATGTCTCATAAAGGAACAATTACGAGTACAAGCAATACATTATACCCTAGTAAAATACATAAAAATAAATTAAAACCATATGTTTTGAATTATCTCAAATACCTATGCAAATTGAGACCATACTGTATCTTTAAATCAAGTGGGGAGTGATGGAGAAGGACCAGAAGGGGAATTTACTAAGGAAGATGATTACCAAGAAAACCATACTTTTTGGAATTGTTTTTGGGTAGCCCCCTGTGCCGTTATACCAATCGTTCTCTTTCTAAGATAGCATTAACAGCCTTTTGCCATTGTGCAAATGTAGGAGGACAAGAAGACAACATTATATACTCTTCCCAATCAACAAAGTTATGTTCAAAGATCGAAATCAAACTACTAAATAACGCAACATTCGTTTAATACATGTCAAAAAAACAGCTCCAAAAATATTGGTATACACATATAGCTAACAGTAAAACAAAAAGAATGAATATAAATTTTAAAGTCACTAAAAATAGATGGAAAACTAGGCTTGTTAGCAAAATTATACAATAAATGAAAACTAAGAGCATCAGCAAATCCAGGATATGCTATAGCAAAAATCAGCGACCTACCCATTACTCAATAATGGTACAAACCATCGTGAATCATGGACTGGAGCCTACAGTCAGGTCCATAAATATTGGGACATCGACACAATTCTAACATTTTTGGCTCTATACACCACCACAATGGATTTGAAATGAAACGAACAAGATGTGCTTTAACTGCAGACTGTCAGCTTTAATTTGAGGGTATTTACATCCAAATTAGGTGAACGGTGTAGGAATTACAACAGTTTGCATATGTGCCTCCCACTTGTTAAGGGACCAAAAGTAATGGGACAATTGGCTTCTCAGCTGTTTCATGGCCAGGTGTTTGTTATTCCCTCATTATCCCAATTACAATGAGCAGATAAAAGGTCCAGAGTTCATTTCAAGTGTGCTATTTGCATTTGGAATCTGTTGCTGTCAACTCTCAAGATGAGATCCAAAGAGCTGTCACTGTCAGTGAAGCAAGCCATCATTAGGCTGAAAAAACAAAACAAACCCATCAGAGAGATAGCAAAAACGTGGCCAAAACAACTGTTTGAAACATTCTTAAAAAGAAGGAACGCAGCGGTGAGCTCAGCAACACCAAAAGACCCGGAAGACCACGGAAAACAACTGTGGTGGATGACCGAAGAATTCTTTCCCTGGTGAAGAAAACACCCTTCACAACAGTTGGCCAGATCAAGAACACTCTCCAGGAGGTAGGTGTATGTGTGTCAAAGTCAACAATCAAGAGAAGACTTCACCAGAGTAAATACAGAGGGTTCACCACAAGATGTAAACCATTGGTGAGCCTCAAAAACAGGAAGGCCAGATTAGAGTTTGCCAAACCAAAACTTAAAATAGCCTTCACAGTTCTGGAATAACATCCTATGGAAAAATGAGACCAAGATCAACTTGTACCAGAGTGATGGGAAGAGAAGAGTATGGAGAAGGAAAGGAACTGCTCACGATCCTAAGCATACCACCTCATCAGTGAAGCATGGTGGTGGTAGTGTCATTGCGTGGGCATGTATGGCTGCCAATGGAACTGGTTCTCTTGTATTTATTGATGATGTGACTGCTGACAAAAGCAGGATGAATTCTGAAGTGTTTGGGGCAATATTATCTGCTCATATTCAGCCAAATGCTTCAGAACTCATTGGACGCCGCTTCACAGTGCAGATGGACAATGACCCAAAGCATACTGCAAAAGCAAACAAAGAGTTTTTTTAAGGGAAAGAAGTGGAATGTTATGCAATGGCCAAGTCAATCACCTGACCTGAATCCGATTGAGTATGCATTTCACTTGCTGAAGACAAAACTGAAGGGAAAATGCCCCAAGAACAAGCAGGAATTGAAGACAGTTGCAGTAGAGGCCTGGCAGAGCATCACCAGGGATGAAACCCAGCGTCTGGTGATGTCTATGCATTCCAGACTTCAGGCTGTAATTGACTGCAAAGGATTTGAAACCAAGTATTAAAAAGTGAAAGTTTGATTTATGATTATTATTCTGTCCCATTACTTTTGGTCCCTTAACAAGTGGGAGGCACATAGGCAAACTGTTGTAATTCCTACACCGTTCACCTGATTTGGATGTAAATACCCTCAAATTAAAGCTGACAGTCTGCAGTTAAAGCACATCTTCAAATCCATTGTGGTAGTGTATAGAGCCAAAAATGTTAGAAATGTGTCTATGTCCCAGTATTTATGGACCTGACTGTATGTATCCAAAATACATGTGCCAAAAGTTTACTATGCAGGTCACCCCTCTGCTCCCCAAAGTTACCTTCTCAATACCCTGAAAAGAGAAAGATGACACATTGCCATTAAGTGTCTCTAAAAAATGTGTAGAAGTATTCAAGAGCCTTCAAATTTTGTCCATCTATATAAGGATTCACTATACAAACCAATAAAGGTCTAACTGTACACCCCACATACTGTACTTAAACTGGCAAATCCACCATATTGATGCCATCACAAATGAATATATTATTTCAAAGGGAAAATCTGTCCAGTGACCACAGATCATACCTCTAGACTTATTTTACATTTACAAGTGTTATACCCCACATCTATAAAGGGCCTTTACATATTCCATATAAGGAAAATGATGGACGGGCAGCGTTTCTCTCATTCTGGGAGGACGTCATATGACGTCCTCCCACTCTAACTGCACATGCACGCAGCAATCAGTGGTGCGCTGTGTCCCTTGGACCCAGAGGATCACCGGTCACTGTAAAGAGCCAATGACTTCAGCTCTGTCATGTAAAACAAGGAAATGCCAGTTATCGGCAATCCTCTCCTAACACTGACAGGGCGTGAGGAGAGGAGAGCCGGTAAGCGGCATTCCTCAGAAGAGACATCTACACTGATCATCAGTGTAGCCCCATCAGTGCCACCTGTCTGTGCCTATCAATGCCACCTGTCAGTGCCCATCAGCGAACATCAATGGAACATATCAGTGCCTACCAGTGCACATCAAAGCCACAGTGCCCATCAGAACTGCCTTTCAGTGCCAACTATCAGTGCCAGTCAGTGATTCCTTTGAGTGCCATCAATCAGTGCCGCCTATCAGTGCCACCTAACCATTTCAATCAGTGTTGCCTATATGTGCTGCCCTTCAGTGCCCATCAGTGCTGCCTTTCAATGCCCATCAGTGCCACCTACCAGTGCCTCCTCATCAGTGCCCATCAGTGAAGGATAAAAATTACCTATTTACAAAATTTTATAACCAAGAAAAAACGTTTTTTTCCCCCCCAAATTTTCAGTCTTTTTTAGTTTGTTTAGCAAAAAATAAAAAAACCCAGTGGTGATTAAATATCACCAAAAGAAAGCTCTGTCACACACAAAAAAAAAAGATAATTTTGTTTGGGTACAGTGTTGCATGACCGTGCAATTGTCAAAGTGCGACAGCGCTGAAAGCTGAAAATTGGCCTGGGCAGGAAGGGGGTAAAAGTGCCCAGTAGGCAAGTGGTTTTAACTATTAAACTCCCTTTGTATTTTAAAGCAGATACTTTAGGAGAAAACTGACCCTAGTCAGTGCCCTTTTACTTTTACAGTGACATTCCTCCTGCAAAACACATTGCATTGTTTTGTTACCAGACAGTGAATGGAATATTCTTTTTTTTCTTCCTTTTACAAAATTAACAATATGTGTACATTCAACACAGTATGTATTGACATAACTGACTCTCTTTTCTACTTTACTTACCTTACGTATCCTTTTCAAATTCTCTTCTGCAACAATGTATCTTTTTTTCTCACTATTTCTGGTTCGCAACATCAATCCCTCCGGGCATCCCCTTTACTTTTGCGCCACTACATTAGACTCTTTCCAGTAGAGTTCCATGCTGAAGTCCTACATGCTCACCCTGATGGTGTGGCTGGGAAGATGGCCTGTGGCCTACAAAATATTATTTCCCCTACATTGTTTGCAAAAAGTGCAGATGGAGATATCTGCCCATATCTTATCACCCCTAAGTGTTATGTCAGAAAAGACAATCTCCTCCAAATCCCAAGTGCAAGAAAATTGCAATTTGCACCCATTAGAATTCAGATTATCTCAAAAGTATTGCTGTCACCCTCTCACCCCATCAATGGATCATATATGAATTTTCCATATTCTTGCAAAAGTTTTAGAAAGGAGTTAAAGTCTCAAAACACACTTTAAATATTTCCCACCTTTCCATATATACATTTGCCACGTGGTACCATTTTTCCTTTAGGCGCACCCTAAAAACCCACATCTTCAGGGAAGCCTACCCCGCCCTCTGCTAATTGCCGACCTCCTCCACTCTTCCTACCACTCCATCCCCCACAGCTTTTCCTCCCGTACCACTATCCCCTCCCTCCTAGATTGTAAGCTCCAAGGAGCAGGGCCCTCGAACCCCTCGTATATCGCATTGTATTGTTATTGTACTGTCGCATGTATTGTCTCCCATTGTAATGTACAGCGCTGAGCAAACTGTTGGCGCTATATAAATACTGTATAATAATAATACTGGGACAAGTTCTCTTAAATGAGATATCAGGGGACTATTAGGGGTAAACTGAAGCTAATGGCGCTCAGGGGGCAATACACCAAGGTTTGTGGAAGCCAACAGTTGGCTTGTCAGATTTACATGCACTCTCAACCACTACAGCAGCTGGAAGCGTGTGTAAAATCCCCCTGCTACCACGTGTGCGTTCCCTTCCATAAATATTTAACAGGTATTAAAAGAAAAAAAAAAAAACAACAAATTGTGTTTTTTTGCCACTAATTTCCAGGTTTCTAAAGTTGTACTTGAGAGACTGCCTTGTGTTGTATATGTTAATAAATGATCAACTGATATTTTATTTTCAAGGAATGCTAAAAAAAAAAATCCTATAATGAATTAAAAAATACAGTCAAAGCACACTGTTAAATTTCATTTCACGCTCACTGAGAAAATATTACAAAACTCTAACTACTGTCAACTTCTATTTTTTTAAGCTAGATATCTTGTGGCCAACTCAGCTGTGACCTTGAAATATTTCACAGATGGGTGCATTGCTTTATTTTGCTAGTCGTCTTCTGCTAAGATTTTTCAGCCATAAATACATGGTAATCTTCAGTATTGGGGTTCTTCTAAATTATTTCATTGCTCAGTACCCTTAAATTGCTTGAAAACTGGGAGAAACTACATTTAATATCTGTGAAAGTTTGTGTCATTGGTAATATGCTCTGCTATTCATTTAAAATCTTACATTTATGTCCTTCCATCTTTTACAGATTAACTTCAAATAACTAGTAACAAATTGCTATTAGATGATTCGGAATAGGAAAGGGAGTAATGCAAAAAGCAAGTAATCGTAAAATACGGCCCAAGTTATTCCTAGAATTACAAAATCTAATAAAACAAAAAAAAGTATAAACTAATGATCACTTACTTTTATAGAGAAATAAAAAACAATTCTCCATTTAAAAATATCTTGAAGGACACAATCTCCCTGGTCTGGTTTTGTAAGATGCATTTTTTATTGAAATCAATGGAAGTGCATCAAAACATGCCTTAGTGCTTGATTTAAAGCACTCTGCGTTAAAAATTCAATATGCATCATAATGCACATACATTTGAAAACGGGGAAAAACACATGTTCAGAAAAACAGAAAAATGCAAATGGACCCTAAATAATATACATAATAAAAGATTAGCTGCCTTAATACTAGAATTGCATTAGTGACTTAAAAATTGGTTACACAAAAAAAAAACCAAAAAAAAACATTCAAGTGAGGATTGATAGTAACAACAACAGCACAAGTTTTAATTAGGGCTTTTAGGATGAACATTTCAGAACTTGTGGCACACAATCTTTTAGTGGTTATGAAAGTCACTGTAGAAACTGCACATTTTTTTGTGAATCTTCTCAAAATAAAAAACTCCAAAACTAATTAAACTCATCCATTTGTGCAACAATATGTAAGGAAAAAAAAAATCACAGGTTTGCTTACCCTATTAATACTACAGATATTCAGATAAATTCACATGAAGAGATCAATATGAATTTTTGTGATAGTGTTTTTACTTGCATTTCTCTTCTAAGAATGGTCATTGCACATTCTGTCCACATGCAAGGCAAAGGAATTGTGTGAATAATCAAGCAGAAAATCTCACAAATTTTGTCAAAGGACAGAAACAACTTTAGGGGATATTTGGAATAAAATGTCACTGAACTTAAAGATTACAGTGTTTTGTATTGATCAGGAGTAAAACCTTTTTTGACAAGAATAAATCTAGCATGACTATTTGTAGAAAATGTTTCTTTAAACAAATAGAACAAATGCAGTATTTACACATTGGGTTTTTTTTTTCTCTTTACTTGCCAAAGAAACTGTTATTTTGTTTAGCCAGTCTCGACTTAACATAGGAGTGTTTATTTATTTATTTTTTTTTACATGACCTTCACATTAACAAACCTTGTTTTCCCTAATTTTTTTTACAGTGTTAACCGCTTTCTGGCCGCCTATAGCAGAAACACTGCTACAGGGTGGCACAGGTGTGCAAAATCATGCATTGGCCCTACCCGTGCCGCCATTCACAGCCACGGCTGTCAATCACCGAGTCCTGGCCCGTGATTACTTGCCGCGCCGCCGGTGATTTCCAAGGATCTCTGATGGGGAGAAGAACGGTTTTTTGTTTACTAACAGTTCTTTTCCCTGTCAGCTCAGCCACACTGTTTTGGACAGCACTGCTTTGCACAGCACAGCCATCCAAAGCAGTGTGATTACAGCGAAGAACACTGACAAAGTCCACTAGTAAAACACTCCCAGCACACAGTTAACCCTTGATGCCCCTCATGTTAACCCCTTCCTGCCCAGTGCCATTAGTAGTGTCAGTGCTTTTTTTTTTTTAAGCACTGATCACTGTATTGGTGTCACTGAGGGTGACACCAAGTCAGTTCCCCTCCAGTGCCAGAATGTCCGCCACAGTCCTGCAGTCCCACCATAAGTTGCTGAACGCCGTCATTACTAGTAAAAATTAAAAAAAATAAATAAATAATTTCACAATCTATACCACCATTTGTAAACGCTATAACTTTCACGTAAACCAATCAATTTACATGTATTTAGATGTAGAAAAGACAGGTAACAGAATACATTTTGGCCTAAATTTAGGACAAAATTTGAGTTTTAAAATTTTTTTTACTGGACATGTTTAATAGCAAAAAGTCAAAAATATTTTTTCTCAAAATTTGTTGGTCTTTTTTATATAGTGCAAAAAATAAACGCTCAGGCAATCAAAATACCACCAAAAGAAAGCTCAATTTATGATGAAAAAAGGCCGTAAATTTCATTTGGGTGCAGCGTTGCATGACCACGCAATTGTCAGTTAAAGTAATGCAGCGCCGTAACACAAAAAAATGGCCCAGTCAGGAAGGGGGGTAAAATCCTCAGAAGGGCAAGTGGTTAAATATAAATACTTACAGATTGGCAACACAATGGAGCACGCAGTGGCTCAGTGTAATAGCTCTAAGAGAAAATATCAGCTACACAGATATATACAAAAATGAAGTCTGAACAGCAGTTTTTTCACCTACTGGTCTTGTTCACAAAGGCTTCAGCTGGAAGAATAGTGTATACAAAGCATTTTGCAGACATGGGTCAGCCAAATCCAAATGCAATGACTTTGAAGGTACAAATTATTATGATTTATTTTTTATTGTAACACACAAAAATATTTAAGACAAAAAATGAAATCTCAAAGTTGTAGGAATATTGTGTACATTACGTTGTAAAAAGACACCCAAAGATCCATTCTAATTCCCAGTTGTAATGCAAGAAAACAGGAAAAACGCCCAAAGGAGTGAATGCTTATGCAAAGCACTCTAAGTGAATCTTTATTGTAAGCACTTTTATTGACAGTTCAAAATAAGTTAATACTTTAAAATTTCTACCCAGACTAATGCATGTTAAAGTGGTAGTGAACTTGATAATGGGAAAATGACTTGTCCAATGCAAGGCAATGTTATAATATGCTAATACATTATGTGAAATTTGTCTTATAAACACAGCCCTCCAGCGGCATGCTGTTACCACTGACAGGGCTTCCATCTTCACCTGGTCCTTCTGGGTTCATGGGCTCCGGCAGTTTGAATGCTGCATGCGTGCGGGAGTC